TTTTTTCTTCTTATTGGGATCTTTACTTTTCGATTTTGATTTTCTTTTCTTTTTGTGCTTCTTTTCGTCGTCTTCACTCGGACGACTCGGAGATTCCCTGAAACTCGAACAATACACGTTGATCCTCTTAAGCCAGCATATGTCACTATTCATTCACAAACACAGGCGTTTGCAGTTAGTTCGTTTGACCGACAATTATCAGATTTTAGGATTAGTATTGATTTAGATGAGTTTAGTGATCTCTCGGTTATGGTTACGCTTTGTGATCAGTTGAAGTGATCGGCAGAAACCCTCACAATTACAATGAACTTCCACGGGTTTGGTATTCAGTTTCGTAGCGTTTATCTGTTGCATAACATTCAGTCGTATCTGTTTCTCAACTTTTCTTGCAAAATTTTTTATTTGCGCTTGCAAAATTTAGAATTTCTAACGAATTATCGCAAAAATAAGCCAATAAATTTGTCAGTCAAATTTATAGCTTAGATATTGTTTTCTACGATGTCTTTTACTATGCGTTAGTGAAAGTTCTGTTGACTGATTTCTCTTTCATCATCTAGTAAATTGAATTTCCAAATGTTATTCTGCTCACAGTTAGTTCTTTGATAAGCTTGTTTAGGCAATTGTTATCGTGTGCAGAAATTTTCGATAGTTTAAACGCTTCTCTCAGCAGTAATTTAGTCATATGCAAATTCAGGCAGTTTATTATACTTTTTTTAGTGTGGACATCAGTATAATTTCAAGAGATTCGTTCTATCATTCTCGATATTTATGATTGCATTTTGTTATTGCTCCATAGGATTGATTGCATTGACTTACTTGCAGAAAATTCAACATTGTTTAGAAAATTCGAAAAAAAATCAACTTTTTTTCGACTGAAATCCGCTGAATGGAACGAAATGATTGTTGACCTTTGTTCATTTCGGTTCGGTGTTGGTGGTACGCCCGTCCATAGAACCGGTGAATGGGCTTGAGCTTGAACCGGTGGAATAGCGTATGGGACGGCTGCTGGCTGTTGATAATAAATTGGTTGCGGTTGGGGTTGATTTTGATAGGCGATCGCATTTGGAGCTGATGGACTCGTTTGATTCGCTGGTTGCGATGGCGATGTGACCTGACGTGAAGGCAGTGGTGCTTGTTCCGGTTTTGGAGCTTGCTCTTCCATTGGAGTTGAACTTTTCTGCGGATTTGTGAAAATTATTTCCGATAATATTTATTGGGTCGTTCAGGTGTTCAGCAGTTTAGGTGCATTGGATCGAGTGGTACATGAAGGCGAGAGTTGTTTTGTTCGTTGAGAGGATCACCGTCGTACCGAGTGGACAGTTTGATGCTCTCGTATGTAATGCTGATATGAATATAATTTGACAACAGTGACCCCATCAGGACTGAAACGTGACTCTCAACGTGAGTGACATTCATGTTACATTTTTATCTATGTAATAAGTACGATCGATATCAGAAATTAGTGCATCAATTCNTCGGTTGCTTACCGGAGAGGAACCTGATTCTTCACCATTTCGTAGTTTGTCGATTATATCTTCAATCATCTGAAACAAATATTACTTAATGATTCTATCTTAACGAAAGTTTTTGCTCAGCATTTTCATCGTACTCGAGCTTTATTATCATGACACCGGGCAGTCATCATCACAATTATATTCATATTTATCTCATAAGCAGTCTTAGCTATATAATTACTCATCTTCAGTGTTTTACTGTCTATCACCTGTTAAAGACGTCAGTATACGAGAAGAGATCATTTGAACGCGATGAAGTTGATTCATAATTCCAATATGGTTGAAATTCTCACAATAATTTCATTGTAACTGAAAGATTCAAAAATTGAAAGATGCGAGTAAAATTGACTTGTTTTCGCGCTGGTTCATTCTTTTGATGGGATGTTTCAGCTTCTTTACGTTCTTCTGTGCTTCGATCAGTTTTTTTATGCCGCCTTTTAGATCGACGTCTTCTTTTTGCACTTCTTCGTCGCTTCGGCACATCTCGATCAGAAGCACTGCTACTGTCCAACGATTCTGATCCAGTTGACTCTGACGGTGATCGTTCTTCTTCATCTGTATCCTTTAAAAATGGTTCTTGTTGATTTGATTAATCAAAAATTAAATCAGAGCATCTATCCGAATCGCCGTCACTTCATTGTTGTCTCAATTCATCTCATCATTCCAGTATGGAACGTATGATTGCACAAGAGTATCAGTGAAATTGCGATGCCTAAAGAGTATGTCACCGGAAAGAATAGCATGAAGTTGCACAAACTACCTCTTCATTTACAGGCAACATGCATTTTGTTGATGGATAAGTCAGCAGATGGTCATTCGCAACAAATCGAATGGATAGACGGTAAAAGCTTTACGGATACTTCAGTCAGCTCTCTCAGAGCACTGATAATCTTACTACGAATGAATTTGATCTGTCACTGGATTCAGTTTCAAACAGTTAAACTTACTGCTTGAGTATCCGAGAGTTGTTCAATCCACTCATTCAATTTGGCATCACATTGACGCTGAAAACAATTTTTAAAGAATTTATAATGCAACTGATCGCAGTGATTAATGATAATGGCCGTGTGCTCATATGAATCCTTTAAGAATATCTTGTCTCTTGTTGATTTGATTAATCAAAAATATTTTCGATCAAA